ATATATCACAACCAAGTGGGATTTATTCCAGGGCCACAAGGATGGTTCAAAATCTGAAAATCAATTAATATAATCCAATACATGAGCAAATAAATAAATAAATACCATATGTTCACATCAATAGATGCTGAGAAAGCATTTGACAAAGTTCAATATCTGTTTATGATGAAGGCTCTTGAAATTCTCAGAGTAGAAGGAACATACCTTAACATAATAAAAGCTACATATGACAAAAACCACAGCCAATAGTCTTCTTACTGGTGAAAAGGCGAAAGCCTTTCATTTAAGTCAGGAACAAGACAATGATGTCCATTCTTATCACTGCTTTTCAATAAATACTGTAAGTCCTAGCCAGAGTAATAGACAAGAGAAAGACATACAAGGAATCTAAACAGAAAGAATCAGACTATCACTATTTGCAGGTGACATGATAATATACATAAAGAACCCTAAAACGCCACAGAAAAACTAATTAAAATAATAAACCAGTTTAATAAACTAACAGGATACAAAATCAACACACAAAAATCAGTAGTCTTCCTATATGCAAACAATCAATCTGGAGAAATAAAGAAGAAACTAAGAAAATCATCCAATTTACAATTGAAACAAAAACATCAAATACCTGGGAATAAACCTAACAAAAGAGATGAGTGGCCTATACAAAGAAAACTATAAATAAAACACTACTAAAAGAAATAGAAGACACAAAGAAATAGACATCCCCTGCTCATGGATTGAAAGAATTAACATTATTAAAATGGCTATCCTACTGAAAGCAATTTACAGATTCAATGTAATGCTGACAAAAATCTCAATGACGTTCTTCAAAGAAATAGAACAAATATTGATAAAATTCAGATGGAGTCAAAAAAACCTTGAAAAGTCAAAGCTCTCCTGACTAAGAAGGAGAATGAAGTTATCACATTCCCAGACTTCAAACTATACTACAAAGCCACACAGTTAAAACAGTATGTTAGGCCCTCCCTGGTGGTGCAGCAGGTTAAAGCACAGCACTGAGAATCTAAAGCCGCTTCCGCATGAGTTCGATTCCCGCCTGCCCCGGAGGTGACCACATGGTGTGGCACACCTCTCCTGACCCGCCTGCTGCTCCCCTCAGCAGTGTACTTCGTCGATCTGCCTGTTCTGCTCCCCGTCCTGTCTCTGGTGAAGCCTCTCACCGCCCCTGAGTCTCTGGCCTGTACCTCAGTTCTGTATGTACAGATAAATAAATCTTTAAAAAAAAAAATTTATTTACTTATACATAGAGAACTGGGGTACAGGCCAGAGGTATGGGGTAGGGGTGAAGGGTGAGAGGATTCACCAGAAATAGAGTGGGGACAGAACAGGCTGATGTGCTGAAATACACTGCTGAGGGAGCACTGTGTGGGTCAGGAAAGGTCTGCCACACGACGTGGGTCACCAACCTGGATGGGGATCGAACTTGTGCTGCAGTGGCTTTGGTAGCTTCACAGTGCTGTGCTTTAACCTGTTGCACCACCAGCAAGAACCCCTCAGTAACATCTTTAAAGAGACATCCCCCAAAGCAAAGAAAGTGAAGGAAAAGATAAACAGCTGAGATTACATCAAACTAAAAAGCTGTTGTACAGCAAAAGAGACATTAACCAAAACAAGGAGACATCCTACTGACTGGGAGAATATTTTTGCATTCCATACAAATGATAAGGGACTGATCACAAAGATTTACAAAAAGGTCACATGTCTCAACAAAAAGAAGGTAAACAGGCCCTCCCTGGTGGCGCAGCGGGTTAAAGCACTGCACTGAGAAGCTAAAGCCACTTCCGCATGAGTTCGATTCCCACCTGCCCCGGAGGTGACCACATGGCGAGGCAGACCTCTCCTGACCCGCCCGCTGCTCCCCTCAGCAGTGTACTTCGTCGATCTGCCTGTTCTGCTCCCCGTCCTGTCTCTGGTGAAGCCTCTCACCGCCCCTGAGTCTCTGGCCTGTACCTCAGTTCTGTATGTACAGATAAATAAATCTTTAAAAAAAAAAATTTATTTACTTATACATAGAGAACTGGGGTACAGGCCAGAGGTATGGGGTAGGGGTGAAGGGTGAGAGGATTCACCAGAAATAGAGTGGGGACAGAACAGGCTGATGTGCTGAAATACACTGCTGAGGGAGCACTGTGTGGGTCAGGAAAGGTCTGCCACACGACGTGGGTCACCAACCTGGATGGGGATCGAACTTGTGCTGCAGTGGCTTTGGTAGCTTCACAGTGCTGTGCTTTAACCTGTTGCACCACCAGCAAGAACCCCTCAGTAACATCTTTAAAGAGACATCCCCCAAAGCAAAGAAAGTGAAGGAAAAGATAAACAGCTGAGATTACATCAAACTAAAAAGCTGTTGTACAGCAAAAGAGACATTAACCAAAACAAGGAGACATCCTACTGACTGGGAGAATATTTTTGCATTCCATACAAATGATAAGGGACTGATCACAAAGATTTACAAAAAGGTCACATGTCTCAACAAAAAGAAGGTAAACAGGCCCTCCCTGGTGGCGCAGCGGGTTAAAGCACTGCACTGAGAAGCTAAAGCCACTTCCGCATGAGTTCGATTCCCACCTGCCCCGGAGGTGACCACATGGTGTGGCAGACCTCTCCTGACCCGCCCGCTGCTCCCCTCAGCAGTGTACTTCGTCGATCTGCCTGTTCTGCTCCCCAATCTGTCTCTGGTGAAGCCTCTCACCGCCCTGAGCCTCTGGCCTGTACCCCAGTTCTGTATGCATAAATAAATAAATCTTTAAAAAAAAAAAAAGGTAAACAATGGGTCAACAAATAGGCAGAAGAGCTAAACAGACACTTCTCCAAAGAAGAAATGCAAATGACCATATGAAAAAATGTTCAACATCAATTATAATAGGGAAATAAAAGTCAAAACCACAGTGTGATACCACCTTACACCAGTGAGAATATTAAAAAAAAAAACTGGCAACAACAAATGTTGGCAAGGATGTAGGGGAAAAAGGAACTCTTCTATACTGCTGGTGGGAATGCAAATTGGTCCAACTGTCATGGAAACCTGTGTGGAGGTTTCTCAAACTACTAAAAATGGAGCTACCATATGACCTAGCAATTCCGCTCCCACCCAAAGAACACAAAAACATTAATTCAAAAGCATATCTGTACCCCTATGTTTACTACAGCACTATTTACAATAGGTAAGCTATGGAAATGCCTAGAATCCAAATGCCTAGAAATAGATGACTGAATCAAGATGTAATGTATATATACATAATGGAGTACTATTCAGCAATCAGAAAAGATAAACTCATTTCATTCACAGCAACATGGATAGACCTAGAAGGGAATTATGCTCATGAAAAAAGGCCAGAAGGAAAAAAGAAAAACATTAAAAGGTTCACTTATAGGAGGAATATAGGGAAACCAAATAAGGGATCAGAAAAAAAAATATAACAATAATAAATTTTTTAAAAAATTAACAATCATGACTCAGACACTGTACAAGAAGTAGGAGGAAGAGGGATCAAAACAGTAGAGATGAGCACAAGGGACTATAGTGATGGTTCACAGGTGAATAGGTGGTGGGAATTTTAGGGGGAATACACCTAAAAGAAGAAAGCATACAAGCCTACACTGTACAAAAATGAACAATGATACACACACACTTAAAAACGAATATATATATATATGTTTATATATATAATTTTTTTTTAGCTCAATCTCCTGCCTCTGACATGACCCAGGCTTCTGTGAGCTGGACCCTGGGAGGTTGCAGAGCTAAATCCAGCCAAGTTGCAAACACTGAAATATCATTCAGTTCCCGGTACAGGTGTGCAACACGCCTGAGCACCACTCTCAGGCTTCTGACATCAGGTAGTGCACAGACCTGCCAGGGGTACATGAAGGAATCAAGCTAGTGGTGGCACCTGCAGGCCCCTCAGGGAGCTCACCTTCCAGAAAGATGGCAAAGCCTAGCTGGGCCCGTGAAAAAGCACCTAGTCATGACCAGGCCACCTCCAAGCCAGGAGAGGTCACCACTGGGTTCTGGGTGGTGCTGTGAGAAGTAGAGGAAGGCTGCAGTGCCTTGCTTTTTCATTATTAGGCTTTAAAAAGTGCTATGGCCTGAATGTGTCCCCCTTAAAAGTCAGGTTGATGCTATTGGAAGGTGGCCTGTGAGGGTGACAGAGTAGGTCCTGAGGGTGGCGCCATTATAAAATGAAAGCAGTGCCCTTAAAAGAAACCCCATAGAGTCCTCACCCTTTCCCATCATATGAGGGCAAAGCAAGAATTCTGTGACCTGGAAAAGGATGCTCAAGAACCACGCTGCACCCTGATCTCGGGCTTCCAGCATCCCAAGCTGGAATGCACTGCTTGTACATTACCCAGAACCCCAATCTGTGGGATTCTGTTGTAGCAGTCCAAAAGGAGTAAGACAATATATATAAAAATATATATTCAATGTAAATATTTAGAATACACATGGAAAAAAACACAAACCCTACTTACCCAGGTTACCACTTCAACATTTTTTGATAATTTTTTTCTATAAATAAGAAATATTGCTTTGTTCATACAATATTAAAAACTCTTTCCGCATTCCACCCACATCAAATGTTCCACTCAGAAGACTTTCCCATTCATAAGTTGTCTAGTTAATTTTCTACTTTTGAACATTTAAGTAATTTCCAGACCTTCGTCACTACTACGTGGTGACTAAACTTCCAGGTCCCTCCTGAAAGCACATCACTGCTGACTCAGGCACCATATACAAATTCAGGGCAAATGGACAGAATGAGACCAGTTGTACCTCCACAACCAGAGCCACACCCACCCATTCTCCCCACTTGCTGCCAGGCAACCTCCCCCTCCACCGGAGAGGGCAGAAAACTCGCCATGATACTAGGATGTCTCCACCACTGGAGATGTCAACATCCTGTCCCCCGGACAGCAGCTAGTGCCATTTCCCCTTGGGTGAACTGTGCATCCTTCCTGCTTCTACTCTGGGACCTTACCTTGTTTTTGAAGTACACCTCGATGGGCATGATGAAGCCAGCATAACCAGACTCTTCCACTTTGTAGGGGGGCTCCTTGCACACTAAAAAGGGAAAACACACTAGTCAGCTTCTTGCCTATTCAAAGATCCAGCCCCTCAGCAGTAAACATGCTACTGCTCTGTTCTGGAGGCCAGGCCCTGCACCCCCTCCTCCCATACACTTCCAGGAGGGCTGAGGGATTCATGCCAAAGGGATCACAGGAAATTCAAGAAGAGCAAAGCAATAGAAAGAGGACTCCACCTTGGAAAGCAAGAAAGAGGCATGAGTTAGGCTAAGGCAGAGCAGCCAGTGTGGGAGCAGATTGTACAAGTTCACCTAGCTCTGGGCTGAGAGTGTGACATATTGTTCTCTACTTTTAGAAAGTAAATAAGAACCATAAAGATCAAGTCCCCCTGGTCCTCCATCTCTCCCTTTCCAGGAGCAATTACTCTTGGGAAACAGGAAAACAAACAAAACCCTACAGATCATTAAAATCTTTAATATACTTATGTCTGTAGTAGTCAGGTTATTCGTTGTTGTAAGGGTGCTCTTAGAAAAAAATTACAGCTCTCAAATATCTCATCAAATGTACCTCAACTATCCGCGAAGCCTATGCAAACAAAACTGGAAAGCAGGGTAGGTTTGGAGACACCAGAGACCGTCGAGGGCAGGGCTGCTAGACAGTCTTGCCAGGGATCCTAGTCTGCAATGCAGGGCAGGGGCTCAGGGCTTCAGTGTGTACACTTGGCCCAGGATCTCACAGGTCAGGTGCCACAGAAGGGAGCCACAGGCAGACACAGGGAAGAGCATGAGAGGCCACGGCTCTGGCACCCTCCGGAGACACCCTTGTCCCATTACCTCTGCCTCCCCGCTGAAGCCCCACCCTCTCACTGGTAGATGGTAGGCTACCATCTCCCCCATCATTTAGAATAAAGCTCAAACTCTCATGCTGGTAAGTTAATATAAATATTTTTTGGATATGAAAAGTCAAAAATAAACCAATATGCTTTTACAATTGAAGGTGCAGAGGAAGGACGTGAAAGCTAGAGACTACCCCTGGGTGGCCTCACCTCCCACAGTGCAAGTTTGGTTTGTTATGTGTATAAATATTTAATTCAAAAGATACATTTTAATACATACAGTATACTTTGGAGGCTGGAGTCTTATAAGAAATTCACTCACTCTCCAACCTGATCTATTTTTCATTTAAAACTGACAAGATGTGATTCAGCAAATTTTGAAAAAATTCCTCTGAAACAGCTGCCCTTTGCAACAAGTCAAATTCAGCTATTAAAGTCTCTCCACAAACTGACACTTTAGGAAATGCACCTCACCTCTTGTCCCCCTTTTCAGGAACTTGGAGCTCAGAGGAAATACCCCTTACACATGTATGACCACCAGCAGGTGACTGAATCTACCTCAGAGGAACTCTAGGAGGCTGTTGCAACACAGCTCACAGCACAGAACCCAAGTTTGTGATAGATAGAGAGCGTTATTAATGACCTCCAGCAGTCACTCGGCTACTGAGGTAGACAGGAAAAGCCATGAAATAAACTATAGGTAGATGAAAATCATCCTCTGAGTCTGTCCTAGAGAAAAAGGGAGAGGTCAACAGGGAGATGGGGAAGGACTGAACTAGAAGCTGTGAGAAGAGAAGCAAAGGCAGCTCAACCCAGGAGAAGGAATCCCCCAGTCTACTCCACTGTCAAGCATGAAAGCAACCTGGGAGGACATCAATAGGGATGGGCATGTCCATGTTCCTGTAAAAACAGGCAATGCTCAGGGGTCCTCCCTGGTGGCGCAGCGGGTTAAAGCACAGCACTAAGAAGTTTAAGCCACTTCCGCATGAGTTCGATCCCCGCCTGCCCCAGAGGAGACCACATGGCGCGGCAGACCTCTCCTGACCCGCCCGCTGCTCCCCTCAGCAGTGTACTTTGTCAATCTGCCTGTTCTGCTCCCCACTCTGTCTCTGGTGAAGCCTCTCACCGCCCCTGAGCCTCTGGCCTGTACCCCAGTTCTGTAGGCACAAATAAAAAAATTTAAAAAAAAAAAAAAAACAGGCAATGCTCACCTGGCCCCCAAGCCAGTTTATTATAGACACCCTACTCTAGATCACAGGTAGCTCACCTGGTTCCTCTGAGTCTGTCTCCCCACTATTAGAGGCTGTGAGGAGGATGATTACCTCATACCCTGCATATGAAAGAGCTCAGTGGGAAGTGACAACAAGTGGCATGCGCTGCTGTTATTAAGAGGTGTTTCTAGTTATCTGCCATAGACAGTGGAACAGCCCCGCTATCCTAGCAGAGAGGATCAAGAGGAAAGAGAGGTAAAGCCTCAGGGAAAGGACAGATGACAGAAAGGGATATCTGAAAGTTGACAGAAGAAACCAGAAGAGAAAGAAACACTAGGAATCTCAAGTTAACTTCCCTTCTGACCCAAAAGTTTCTATTTCTGTAACCATCTGCTAGATGGTAAGACCCGTGCTGGCGCAGGTGTCCAGATAGGAGCCAGGATGGGTTCCTGTTTCAGCCTGAGGGGTCCACACTGCTCATGGCTTAAGTGTTGACCTCACCCCACCACCAACTGCTGTACTGCCAGGATCACAAGCCCACATGAAATGTTTATTGCATCCTTATTTGACATGTCAGGCCCTCGAGCACTCAGTGGTGAGGGAAGCAAACGTGGACGGCCTCACTCCACACAGGCTCAGAGATAATCACTAGCTTCATTCCCAGTTCCCCCAGAAGTGTTCTCTGACCCCATAAACTGGGTGACTTCCCACTTCTCCGCCCCATCAGATATGTCCTCTGATGATCAGGACCTCCCAGCCACAGGTAATGGAGATCTTTTTAGTGGATTAAGGTGTCCTTAATGACAGGGATTCATTCTGAGAAAAGTGTCAATAAGTGATGTCTTTGCTGTGTGAACAACAGAGTATAACGACACAGATCTAGATGATGAGCCGACTCTACACGGAGGCACGAGGGAATAGCCTATTGACCCTATCAGCTACACATTTGTGAGCAAACACAGATGACATGTGTACATGGATGAGGCAGTCTGAGAGATAAAGTAGGGAAGGAACACATGAGAAATCAGACAGAAGTGAAATGCAGTCTTGTTAATGCTTTTCTGCCCTAAACACCATGAAATTTTTTCATCAAATGTAGGCCCAATAAGCAATTTCCCAACTACTCACCAGGGTCGTGCAAGCTACCGTTCCCACCCACTAGCCACTGGCTCCACCCTCAGAGCTGATTCTAACCAATGACACGTGGCGCCAGCACCACCTCCTCTGGGTTTTTCCCTAAACTAACCAGGAGAAGCAGGAAGAGGGCAGTCCAGGGCCGGAGGAGGGCCCATGCCCACTGGGCAGCTTTGGGGCACTGGCTGGAACCTCACTTAGCATAGGCCTGATGCTCCCTGGAGAACTTCAAGCCCTTCAAGGAGAGAACTCAAATGGGTTAGCGTCACAAGTAGGCGGCTCCAAAGAGCTCTAGGCCAGCGGTTACTCACCTCGCTTGGGCTTGGGGAAGCTGTCGTGCAGCCGGAAGACCACCTTCTCCACGAAGTGCTGGATCTCACACTGCTCCGGGCCACGGACAAACACCATCCAGTCATGGGTGAATCCCTCCATGGTGGGCTTCTTACGCAGTTGGGCTCGATGTCCCAGCTCTAACTTGACCTGGACAGTGCACTGTAGGGAGCAAAAAGAGGCAGGGAGGGGTCAACACAGAGTCCAGAGCAGGGCCCTGCAAGCTGCCCTCCCCATCGCCAGCAGAGCACAGGCAACACTGGCTGCATTAAGTACAAAGACTCCTGAGTAGTGAAGCAATCATGTGCTTCCGACCAAAATCCAGAGCTCAAGCAGTTTCTGTGTGCTTATGTGGACTGGCATGGTGCTAAGCTCTTCATGTGTCTTCTTCCCCAGCAAACCCACACCAAGCCCTATGTCCACCCGCTCATCCTCTCCATGCTGTTGTTCAAATAAGCCAAGTTCATTTCAGGGCCTTCACACCACTGGACCCCTCTTAGCAATCTGGGTGCTCTTGCTATGGACGCTCCAGACAAGGAGGTTTCTCATGGCTGGATCCTTCTTGCCACTAAGCAATCTGCTTGACAGCTGCCTCCTCAGGGAAGGCTTCCCTGAAGGCTTTCAAACAATCTAGAAACCACCTCTTCACATTCTCCACTACCAGAACTCATCTTTCTATTGGTGCCTCTCCCTCTAAAGGGGGTTCCTTGAAGGTGGCCCCTTGTTTGGAGCTGGAATCCTCACCAAGATCTCCCGAAATACAAAGGTACAATCACTCCACTTTATGGATGAGGAAGCCAAGGGTCCAAGAGGTAGCTGCTAAGAGGTATGGGCAAGGTGGCTCAGCTAGCTGGGAGTAGAGCCCAGATGTGTCAGCTCCAAGTACCTGCTTGTTCCCTTGCCACTCTGCCAGCCTGCCTCCCTGAGCAAATCACCCCTTGCTTAAAGTATTTTCATTCTCCATCCTACAGAACACCCTTGGAGAACAGAAACCCTGGTCAGTGACCTGCGTCATCAGCACAAACTCCAGCTTTCACTTTTAAAAGTTGAAAAGTGGTTCCCAGTGAGGTTGGAGGGGCAAACAAGAAGTCACATGGGGAGAGAGCTAGGTGGCCCCGCAGTCCCACAGTCTGGCTCCTTATGCTCATCATTTCCCCTGAAACATAGGCAGCTCGTGCTGGTCCCACTCTGCTGAATACAAAGCCACAAAACCTTCAAAGCACTCACAACACCTAGATTGGTCAAAACCAGGGTACCTGCTGTAAACAGTCACTCTAGTCTGTGAAATCCTCCCCAGACTTCAGACACAGCCAACATCAAGCAGCAAATGCAAGAATGTTACCAAGTAGCGGCCAAGTGGACACTGTTCCTAAGAGCAGAGATAACCAGGAGCTACTGTAGCCCTCACTTCCCAAAGAAGAAACCTCCCACTCTGCTCTTCCCACCCTTCTCACCAGCTGAATGCCGGTGTCCCCACCACTGCAATCCCTCCTACAGCTGCCTCTTCTCCATGCCTAACAAGTTCAGAAACTGCCACCAAGCCACCAGAGGCCTCACTGCTTTCAGCCACTGCAATGAAAGCAGGGCCAATATATTATATGGCTCACCTTGTTTTAAAACTTTTGAGGGCTCACCACTACCTCTTAATAAAAGCCAAGCCTCGGCACACCTCTGGCTCCCAGCTGTCAGTTTCCTCAAGTCTAAGATGCTTGTGATTTTTGACATTTTAAACCTTCTGAAGTCAGAGCATACCTTGCAGTCTGTATACATGTAAGGCTCAACTACAGAGGACCCGGGTACAGGCACCCTCCCCCTCCCCACACACACACACACACACACACACACACACACACACACTCAAAGAAGCTGTTACTAGGTTAGCAGGGTGCCTCAGAGGTGCAAAACTGAAAAGGCACAGGAAATACACGCCTCCTGCTCAGTCAGAGGTCTGCCAACCCCTAAACACATGGATGCCCACCCCTGGCCACCGCATGCCTCTGGCCCACAGCCAGTGGGCCCTACACTCGTGTCTCTGGTAGAAATTCCACTCATCCCATGAGCCCCAGTTCTGGAGTTACCTCCTCCAGAGACTTTTCGGAGCACCCTGATGGAAGTCAAGCAGCCTCTCAGCAGCCCGCAGCATCGGGGCAATAGTCAGCACAGGGCACCACTCCATCCCAATCCCAGCTACCATCCCTCCCAGGGGCCACACCTCCTCGTCCTTTTAACTTCTATTTTGGAACCACAGTACATGAGGCATCAATAACACTGGGGAAAGTGAACTAGACAGGCTCCCAGATAAGCAGATTCTAAGTAGCGCTTTCCAAGAGGAAGGTCAAGGGAGCCAGGAAGGATCAGGAGATACCAATGCTCAGGAGGCCCCGGACACTAAGGGAAACATCGGCAAAAACAGGGAAGAGGGAGGTGCCCAGCATGAAGTCATCCTGGTGGGACTATGGGCAGAAAAGCAGGGGCTCCCTGGGACCACAGGGTCCACTGAAGGGAGGCGTATTTAGATTCCATACAACAGCAATGACAATTCAAGTATCAGGAGATGATGTACTGGACAAAACAGTATCTGAGTAAAAGTATCAGGGCACCAGTCTGGGATGAAGAAGGAAAGGACAGTCTGGCAATAAACAGCAACAGGTCCACCAGGGGGCAACCAGAGGCAGGAATGGGAAAGGAGGTTAAGTGGAGCCTGAGATGGGAGGACTGCTGGGACCTACGTGTAGATGGAGATGACAAAGGAGTCTCAAATAACTCTAAGACCCGAGTAGCTGGGATGAAGCAATAACAAGTGACAGACATGCAGGGGGAAGAGAGAGAGGGATTAGGGATCTTTAGGGAAAGTACCCCACCAAGATCTAGAGACAAGAGGCTGTCTGGATAAACTAGTAACACTCAAATCAACATAGCATCTTCCAGCACAGCATTGCATACGGACAACATTCAACAAAAATAAGCTCAAACGGTATTTACATTATCCCAAATAGGCTGTAATGACTATATATACTTATTTGTAACAGACTATGCCTTTTGCCCTGCACTGTTTTCACACTGAGAAATCAGAGACAATTCCTGGATTGCTGGGCGGCTTATAGGGAGAAAAGAAAATATGTATAATCATAACAATACACTGGAAAATGACTTTGGGTTCCTTGGTATTAACTCCTACTCAAAGTTGCCTTGAATTGTCATTCACCAATTTGACTCCTCCAACCTCAGCTGCCTTCCCACCATTTCTGGTTACAAGGATTTCCTAACCAGGGCACACAGTAGCAGAGCACTTATTGTGAAAGAACAGAGACCACAGTTCCATCGAAGAGGGGAAAAATAGAAGCACCAAAAACATGCTCCAGAGGCCAAAGTAAACAGGAAGGTTCTGAAGCTGCGATGGGTAATCTTTGCAGCTGCCATGCCCATTGGCATCTATGCCCTTGGGGCTGCACTGACTCAGCCTCGACACCCCCCAGGTTCAAGGTGCCAAAGCCTGCAACTGAGGTTCACTCAGGAGAGGAACACTCTTCCAAAACTAGAATCTTCTAAGAAAGAAAAATGATGGAGTAACACAGGTTCTGCGCCACTATATTAAAAGAGAAATAACCAATTCACTTAAACACTCAAGTTACCTTGAACTACAGGCAAGCAAGAAGCTGAGCCCTGGCCAACGACTTTAACTTGTCAAGTCATGATAATTTATTAGCACAGCTCAGCCAATTCCACCTCCAAAGGTTCCACACCCTTCTTCCTCTATTCCATCTGGACTCCTTCCCCATCCACTAGAACCAAAGAGCTGAAGTATATGAGGCAGCTTTCTTCTAAGAAAGGTGCTTGGTTAAAGTAGCTCACGCCACCTAGGTGAAGCACAGACTTCCCTGGAAGGACAGCATCTCATCTGTCCCATCAGCTACTTAGAAGAAAGTTACAGAACGTCCAGAATGAATGGCTGAAAGTGACTGCCATGTCAGCACCCCTCCATGCTGGCCACCTACTCCCCAGCAAAAGCCTGGAACAAAGAAGACTATTCCAGCAGTCCTGTCTCTGAAAGGTAAACTATTTTCCTTGCGAGAAATCAATCATTTCAAAGACCTGCGGGTGGAGCTGAAGCGATACAGGGCTCTGAAGGTCACAGGAGATAGGTGAGCTTAAACAGAGGGCCCGCAGGTAGGGTAGCTCTCTCTCTCCAAGCCAAATGGCTTAGGGGAGTTGGACAAAAGGATCCTGGAGGGTGGCTTCCCAGCTACTTCTTCACTAAAGAGCAAAGGTCCCACGAAGTATGTGCTCCAAAGGCCCTCACCTGGCAGAGAAAGCACCAGCCTGGTCCCAACAACTCCACCCACCTCAAAGCCCTTTCTTCGCAGAATCCTTGCCAAGTCCCTCAAACGCTGCCCTCAGCCTCAGCCCCAGAAGGCAGGTCTTTAACAATTCATTTTATCTGTAAGACTTCCCCTGATTTTCTGGTGGGAATTCTCTGCAACAGATGTCTCCTCTTCTGGGAATTTGCACTTTACTTAGTCGTATAATTATACCTAGAGTTTGGCGACTGAATCTAATTCCCTCAGATTCAACAATTCCCTCCCCTCCCAGGAGAAGAAAGCACCTGAGGTTGTTCCCTCATCAGTCTAGATTAATTCTGCCAAGTCCAACTGGACCCAGCAGGCAGCTGGCAAGGTGGTTCCTCCTTCTTCTCCACCCCCCACAAACACACTGGGAGAGGTGTTCGTTCCAGCATGCCGGCAACACAACCAAATAAAATACTCTTCACAGAACTTTCTCCTTCCAGACCCAGGCACTCAATCAGGTAAGAAAGATGGGGACTCAGCAGTGTCCCTCTGTGACAATCCTTCAAGGGGAAGGGCTACCTGCCCGTAAAGAGTTATAAGGCAGGAACAACGCAGGGACAGCTGTGGAAGGTCCTGGGCTTCTAACTGCTGGCACGGGGACTGTGACTAACATGTGTACCCCACTTCTGGCTCCATTCAGTCCAGGGCACAAGGTTAATGATAAAGGGTATGAAGTAGCTCAATGACTGACTCTCTCTGGAAGCCAAGTGTATAGACCATGAGGATATAAAAATACACCTACAGGGCCCTCCCTGGTGGCACAAAGGGTTAAGGCACAGCACACAATGCCGGCAGAAGCTGCTTCAGCATGAG